AGGATTTGTACAAAACAAAAATAAGAAATTTAAATTTATAAATTAACAAAATTAGGGAATAGATAAAAAAAGAAAGAATTGAATTAAAGAAATAAGAAGTAAAGGATAAGGTAATATTGGATAAATATCAATTGAAATAAGAAGACTTAGAGAAAGTATAGAAAGTGTTAGATGAGAAGGCAAAGAAAAAGAGTTTAAAACTATTGAAACAAGAGAAAAAGAGATCTCAAACAATTCCAAGATGGTGATATTAATATTTTATGTATTTATCAATGACTTGATTATTAAGGATGACTTCTTAATTATCTAGATTTGACTGGATGTTTAGCATGATAGTCTTCAATTCTTTCTTCGATTTCTTCTCTGTAGGATCTGATTAAACCTTAGACAGGCCAAGCAGCAGCATCTCCTAGAGCACAAATAGTATGACCTTCAATTTAATATGTTAATTCCTAGTAATAATGAATGCATATCTTACTTCTAATTAATCAATTTCAGCAAAATCAGCATTTCCTACTTTCATTCTTTCCAATAAATCAACTAACCAGGAAGTACCTTCTCTGCATGGTGTACATTAACCACATGATTCATGTTTATAGAATTTACTTAATCTTAAGATAGCATCAATAATATCTGTTGATTTATCAATGACAATAACAGCAGCAGTACCTAATCCAGATCTAACATCTCTTAAAGCATCAAAATCCATAAGAACAGTCTCACAAATTTCTTTTGGTAACATAGGGACTGATGAACCTCCAGGAATAATGCATTTAAGATTATCCCAACCTCCTCTGACTCCTCCACAATGTCTTTCAATTAATTCTTTAAGAGGAATAGACATCTCTTCTTCAACAGTACAAGGATTATTAACATGACCAGAAATGCAGAATAATTTAGTGCCTCGATTATTAGGTCTTCCAAAAGATGCAAACCAATTTGCTCCTCTTCTAAGAATTGTTGGACAAACTGAAACTGTTTCTACATTAGTCACAGTTGTTGGACAACCCCACAATCCTGCATTTGCTGGAAAAGGTGGCTTAAGTCTTGGCTTTCCTGGCTTTCCTTCTAATGATTCAATTAAACCCTTTCAAATATTTATAATTAAATTACTGTTTCTTCTCCACAAATATATGCACCTGCTCCACTGTGAACATATACATCAAAATCATATCCACTTCCACATGCATTTTTACCTAAAAATCCTTTTTTATATGCCTCATCTACTGCTTGTTATAAGGCATTGGCTTCTACCCAGAATTCTCCTCTACAATATATATATGCTGCTCTTGCTCTCATTGCAAATCCAACACATAAAGCCCCTTCTACTAATTTATGAGGATCATGTCTCAAGATTTCTCTATCTTTACATGTACCTGGCTCAGATTCATCTGCATTTATTACTAAGTAGGAAGGTCTTTATTAAATAATTCCATTAATTAATATACCTTCCATCTGGATTTACTTTAGGCATGAATGAGTATTTCAAACCACTTGGAAATCCTGCTCCACCTCTTCCTCGAAGACCACTCTTTTTTATTTCATCGATAATCCAATCTTATCCCATTGTTAAGATATCTTTTGTTCTATGCCAATCACCCTACGATTATTTATTTTCTTACTCTTTTCAAAGCTCCTTAAATATAAGGATCTCCATCACGATATACATTAGTAAATATACGATCTTGATCTTTCAATCCCCCATGATAATATCTAGGTTGAGGAGTTAATCTTAGAAACAGCTGAGCTTATCTAATTATCATTTTAATAATAATAATAAATATAATTATTTTTAATCATTAAATCAAAACTAATTTCCAATAATTATTCTTCCCTTCGTTGTCATTTAAACAAACCTATCTATTTTATGATAGTGTTGCTTTTTTATTTATGAAAGATAAGTATTTAGTAATATCATTATGTTTCAATTCAAATATTGCTCCATCTTTTAAAATGTTATCATCAAATTCAATAGTCCAGCATCTACTAGAACCATAACCACAGTATACAATGCCTTCTTCATCTAACTCTGTTGCCATAAGATATCTTCCTGTCAGAATATGTATCAACTGAGTCATTATAAGTCATTTTACATCAATTTTATCTCCTGAACGAATTGGCAACTTGTCTGCTTCTAAATGCCATTCACAATAGCAACACAATTCAGGATTAATATTGGTTAAAGATACTTCATATGCATGGTTTCTAGTATTAGTAAGTCTCACAATAAATCATCTTTATACTTTATCGAATGAGAAGAGAGTAGTTTGGATATGTATACATTCAAAATTTAAATTTTGTTATCCCTATCAATTGCATTTCCCAAATTGACTGTTTGTCTCTATTTTAATAATACTCTAATACTTAACTATCTGGATTCTGATAAAATTGGCTAGCAGTAAAAACTGACCGATCATATTAAGAGTATATTGCAGATTCCTCTTCAGGAATTACTGTGAATGTTGTCCTAGGATTGGAACCCCTAGGATTGCTTTTACATGGCCAATTAACTATAGTATCACCTTTCTAACATACCGAACCCATAAATTTAATTAATTCTTTTAGTTATAAGATGAGAAAATTAAACTTTTCAACAAAAATCATTCTACATTTATTTCCCGCACTCTGTTTAAAAAATACCTTTAATAGTTACAGTTTAACTGTTAGTTTTGAAAGAAAAAATAAATAAATATTTATATTACTCTGAATACACATTTAAAAAGTGAATAATTATTATTCAAATCTTATTCAATCATTTCTTTTTTACAAAAAAAGTGGAAGTGATATCATATGAACCTGGTCCAGGTAATTTAGTATTTTCTGAACAACTATGAGATCTTTTCTCTCTTCCGAATACAATACTCACTTGGGGTTTTTTAGATTTTTGATCTGTGTCATATTCACCTGGTCCCTAGAATAATATGATTTATAATACAGGTATCGATATCCTATTTTAACTATCTCGTTTTGCCTGCCCAAATATAATGCTTTTGGATTCTCTAAAATCTCCTATAGTATAAGATTAAGGTCCTGGACCTGAATTATCTGTTTTTTCTCTATATCTTTGATAGATAGAATATTTTGGTGCGTTGCTAGGTTTTTGAGGTTTATAACTTGCTGGTCCTGGAAGCACCTCAAGTTTAGTTTCTTATCGTTAACCTCTACCTATTGTATATCCAACGCTTTCTTTGATTGCCTAAACATCATAATCACCAGGCCCAGGAGAATTGGACTTCTAAAAGATTCCCTCTCTTTTACTCATCCCAATTTTAAATGATTTTACTCTTTCCTACCTAATTTATTCATATGCATCAGGACCAGGTGTTATCATCGAAACCGTCCTCTCTCTACGAGGTACCATTTTAAATCCTCCATCAGTCTTTAATAAGGTAGGAATTTCATATTGACCAGGACCGATATGATTAGTATAGATTTTTCCTGATCTTGTTTGTTGTCCAATTATATATGAAGTAACATGATTTTTCGTATTTACTTGATAATCCCCAGGCCCTGGCGATAATTTCTTTTCATCTTTATATCTTTTTTCACTGCCAATTTTGAAGCCTATTTTAGATAATTAAGAGATTTCGACTTAGTATGCTCCTGGACCTGGCTTTTACTTTGATTCTTTATCGATTTAATAAGATTTGCCGTAAATTAAAGTTTTTCTTAATGATGCAGGTAATTTAGGATCGTATTATCCTGGTCCTGGGAGGTTTTTAATAATAGGAATTTCCCTTGAATAAGTTCCACTCATTGTCCATTTGGGTGCATTTGCATGCGAAACTTCTATTTTAGGTTCATAACTTGCTGGTCCTGGAAGACCTTGTAATGCTGTATTTGTGTTAACTAAAGATATAAAAAAGAAATAAAACTTCTTTTTGAATTTCGTGATGGGACAGACATGACAAATAAAATGCTTTATATTGTCAGATAAAATAAATATCTAATTAATTCGTAGAGTTTTTAGAAAATAGCATAAATCCAATGAATTAGAAACTTAGATAGTTTAAAAACATATATATTTATATTAATAAATAAATTTCGTTTTACGTAGTATGAGTTCTCCATTAGAAGGTGATATTAAATTAGTAAAGGAATTGATGTAATTAAGGACTAAGATGCTTTCCGTAGTTGCTTATAGATGCTGGGCAATCTATTAAAGGAGAACTTGGATCTCTTGGATACCTTTGCTGAAATGTTTAGGAAAATGTAGTCAATAAATGAATTTTTTGATCTTTATGAGGCATTACATTATGAACTGAAAATAAGATGTGAAGAAACCTTAAGTATTATTGGTTAATTGAATAATCCTTCAATTCTATAAAAAAGCAATGAAATACCAAATATTATTACAAATGATCATAAACCATCAATCCAAGAGTATAATATAATTGATACTCAAATATATGATTTGGTACTTGATATAAACATGAGTTCATCATGGAAGGTAGTTGTTATTCCACTATTTCAAGTTATTGTTGAATAACAATGAACTTAAAGGAGCTAGAGTTGCAGTTCTTGGTTTATATGATAAAGGTAAAACCCATATACTAAATCAATTAACAAACCAAAATCTACCCACTGGTTCTAAAATTACAACCAAAGGAATTAGTTTCAAATAATGTATAGTTGATAAGAACAATTCATTCGTGTTAATAGATACTGCAGGTAGTTATGCACCAGAAAATCTTAAAAATCTTAAAGAGAAATAATAAATAGAAAACGCAATACTTGAAATTTCATTTGAATTAACAGATTATTTTATTTGTGTTGTTAATGATTTTACAAGCATAGAAGTCAGATATTTAGATTAATTAGCACGTAAATTGAGCACTTCTCTCAAATAGTTTAAGGAAATAATTGTGATACACAATCTTAAGGATATAACAAATCCAAATCTTATTCAACATGTTTGGTAAGTCTAAATTGAAAAAATATTAGAAGGGAATATATAGAAATCAACTGTAGAAGCCATGAATCCTTTTACAAATCAATTAGAAGAGAAATCAGTTTTATGGTTTAACACAGAGACAAGTAGACACATTTGTATTGTTAATGATAATTCTGATTTGGGCAAGAGTATTAATCCATGGACTTATAGTCTTTTAAAATATTGGCTTAAACTTGTAGTTGTACCTCATCAAAAGAAAATATTAAAATATGATGATATTGTAGAAGTTTGTGAATTGAAAATGAGTACACTCTTAAAAAAATAAATCAAACTCACAATTCAAGATACACATTTACCAAATGAAAAAAGAATCGTAAAATAATAAGCAACATCACCTAAATTCACTTAAATTATATCATCAGCAAAACTCATCTCTACACCTATAGATATAGGAAATGATGATGGCGAAGAATATGAACCATAGATAGATATTATTCAGGGAAATTAATATATAATACTTATCGATTTACCGGGTGTTTCTTTGGAAGATGTTGAAATTTATAGATAGAATGTTTCAACTATTGTTCGAGGACATAAAAAAATCTCTATGTATACTAATAAAGCAACATATATTAAATAAGAAAGGAAATCTGGTCCTTTTGATCTGAGATTTAAAATTCCAGATGAATATGACCCTAAATGGAGATGCTATGCTATGAATAATGGGGTTTTAGGAATTGTTTATAATCTTGACTCCGAAGACTCAATTTTACCAAAAAGGAATTAATTTTGATTTTCTATATATATATATAATTTTTTAATATGTATAATCTCCAAGATTAATAATCATCAATGTGTGGATTAGAATTAGCAAAATTGAGATATTTTAAAGAAGAAGTAATTGCCAAAAATAACAAACTTTTTGAGGGAATATGTATTGGAATAAAATTAATATTTTCCATTAATCTTTAGTGAATGACGTAACAATAAGAAAAAAATTATCAAGAATCTGTTTCTTTTATAAGTTGTAGATCCATATCAAAAATAATAGGTTTCTCAGACAACAACGAAAAATAATGAAATTTAAGAATTGTTAAATAAGACTCACTGAAGTTATTTGAAAGATATAAATAAACAAATCTAAATAGTTCTAGAAAAATCTCCTATGATAAATCAAATTATGAATACTATCTATAGGGAAATATAAGTATTCAACAAAGGTAAGAATTTAAATATGAAATTCCATTATGTCCTAGAAAATATCTTCCCTAAAGCAGAGGAAATTTAATTGATATTTGATTATAAATTATCTATAGTCAAATTATTCATCCATATTAATATACCTATATGGGTTGAAGTTGATCATCATTTTAGTTTAAAATTGGCTATTAAAAATGCCTGTAATTATGTTGATTTATTAGACTATCGGAATAATTTTGGATTTTAAGTAGTATATTTGAAATTCGATAATATTAATAATATATCTTGATCTGATAAATCGGCTGATTTCAATGATATTTTAAACAAACTAAAGTTTCATGTAGAAATTAATAACAGTCTTTATAAATTATATAAAAATTTGATATCTATTTGACAATCCAAGAATTTTTTTAATTCAATAAATAAGATATGTTCGACTTAATATTTAATTAAATAGTATTTGATTTTAAAAGAAACAAGATCTAATTAAAAACTAAAAACTACAAATATAATCGGAATTAGAAATATAAATTCGATAGGTGAAACATAAATAATTTGAAGTATAATTTATAAGATAAAAACATGGCATAGCATTTCAACCATGAATACTTAAGGTTTAGTATTTTAAAAATATTGTGTCTAATTTATACTATTTTTTTAGAATATTTTTAATAACAAAATTAATTATTTAAATTTTAAAATTAAGAAACTATATTTAATATATTGATCATTCCCATTTCGTATGAAAATTCTGATTTCAAAACTTATTAGAATATTTCTGAAATTTTTATCTCTAATAAATTCAAAAATCAGAAAAATAACTCATTCTAATTATATTTTATGTTATTTTTAGCTGTAGTAATTCAACTTCAGATGTAAATATTTGATAAAATATAACACAAAAATATAATTTCATTTATTTCATTAAAGTAATTGAAGCTCTTTTTTTTGGCAATTAAACATCGCAATAATAGATGGGCCTTAAGATAAACCTATTCCTAGGTATTCCCCTTCATAGTCTTTAATTTTTTCAATTTTTTCATTGTTGATTATTCTCCAAATAACAGTTCTATGCTCACATTTTGTAATGAGCAATTATGAGTTATAATTGTAAACTATTTTTTTGATGTAACCAAATTTAAGATTATTTTCAAAACATATTTCATATCTATTTTAATTTTAATTATTTTTCCAAATAGAAATGTTACCATCATATGTACCTACAATAAGAGAATTTTATTTTATAAATTGAACAGAATAAATATAGCTTTAACAAGGAACATCTATTTGATCAATCTTATGAAACAATTAATTTTCATTTCTCCAAATGTATACTTTACTATCTTCACTTCCTGATGCTAATAAATAATTATCTTCTGAAAAACTTATACTATTAACTGCAGCAATATGATCAGAAAATAATTGAGAATCTTACCAATCATTATTAATGTATTTCCAAATAATTATTTTTGAATCATGTCCACATGATATTATTTACTAATCTCTATTACTAATAACTACTCCTAATACTGTTGAAGTGTGCTTATTCAACTATTTTATGCATTCCCAATCTTTATTTTTTATATCAAATTTCCATAATCTTAAAGTACTATCTAAGCTACCAGAAACAAAAAAATGATCATTTTTACTATAAGATATTGCTGTAACTCTTTTTGAATGTCCAAGCAAAATAGTTTCACTCTTTAGTTTATTATCACCACTTAAGCCCAATACCATTAAATTTTTATTTTCACCTTGATTTTAATTACCACCCCCTATTACTATTTTTTAATTGTCAAAACTAAATGCTATTGCATAAACAATAATATTTGTTTAGAATTATGACAATTCTTAGAAGTCTATCTATTAGGCAGAATAATCTTTCTGAATTTATTATATTTTTTGTTCGTTTTCATTATTTATTGATATTTAAGGGTTTTCTTTAAAAAAAATAGGATTAGAATTTAAGATTTACTCAATTTTTTGTAGTTTACTTGTTAGTTTTTGAAAATTTTCAAATTAATCTTATACAAAATTTGGTACATTAATATCATTTGAATTCAAGGTTATTTATGCAATTTAACTTAAATCCTCTTGATTATAAAAATTAGATTTAGAAAATTTCTATATAACTTAATGCTATTGATAAATTTTTAACCATTAATCTCGATATTCTGAGATTGTTTAATGCAATTGTTAAAATGATTTTAGCACAAAATTTGACTACTAAACTATAGTTTTGAGCAGAGGATAAATATCTTGTTGCTAACTAATTTTAGATTACACAGCAGACAATTATTTAAATTTCATTAATATTTCTTCTATGCTGATTGATTCCTTTTAAATACATTAGATGCATTCTATTTTCATGTAATTTTGGGTGTTTTTTTCTAAATTGATGTATAATTTATCAAGATTATGAATTGAGCAATTTTCGATTTGGTAAGACATTGACAGTGAATGAATAAAAGGAAATAATCAATTTAATTAATGAAATTAAAGAATTATTAATTGATAAAAAAAATTAATTTAAATTGATTATTATTTAGATATACTTATATATAAAGATAGAATGGTCATGATGATGTTTTTTTTTGAAGCTCAAAGATCTTTTCAAATTAGGATTGGATTTTTTATTTTTCTTTGACTTACATAATTTATTTTCCAGGTTGTGTAATATTAGAATTCTATTTAGAATTGTCATAAGTTGGTTTATTGCCAAAATTTTGAAGATCGGAAATGGTAAAATCAGTGTATTATTTGTTTTTGACTTTATCTTCTGTTTTTTTGAATTCCATGTTAATAATATCAAAAATTTATTCTGTTTCTTCTTATTCATAATCCCACCATCCATCTAGCCATCCTTTTGATTCTAATTCTGGATAGACATATCCATATTTCCTTTTCATTTCAACCATTCTTCTTGGAATGGCAACATTATGAATATACCAAAGTAACACAAGTGCGAATCCCATTGGATATATAAAAGCAAATGTGAATTTTTTAGGTGTCATCCTTGGAGACCAGAGAATAGAATTTTTATATTTTTCCATTTGTTCAATTTAATCTGCGATTGCCAATTCATATGGAATTTTGTAAGGATTAGTCATAGTATTACCTCCTTTGATTTTAAGGTGAGGATGTTTATTCATGACATGCAAAACAATAGCTTTTCTGGTCTAGATTAAGAAGGTATTGTTACTTCTACAGGTAGATTAGCCTGATAATCATAAATGGTAGGAGTTTTGATAAGTACTTTTTTAGGATTTAATTTAAACATAATAATTAATAATAAAAAATAGGAGAATATGCAGAAGAGATAATTAATAGAGGATTTTGCAGAATCAAAGTATTTTGACAATGATGATGAGAAGTTGACAAATGAATAAGTGAGGAAAAGAGAATTAGAAAAGTAAAGAAATGAAGAAGAATAAGATGATGAATTAGATCCATTAGACTTTTATATGCAAGACATATAGAAATAATATTAGTAGGAATTGGCTGAACCAAAAAAGGTGAAGAAGTTTGAAGTAGAATAATTTGAAAATGAAGATCCAATCTTAACATAATATGAGTAAATCAAATAAACTAAATTGATATTATAAAGTAATTGTTGCAATAGTTATAAGATAAGAGAAATAGAAATAATAGAATGGAGAAAGTGAGGATTCTATGCCTAGTGATATTGAAGTAGATGAAATAGAAGAAGCAGAGAAGAAGAAGAAGAATATTGAACCATTATAAGCAATTGATCATTCTTAAATTTAATATGAGGAATTTGAGACAAACTTTTATTAAGAACATGAGGAGATAGCAAATTTGAATATAGGATAAGTGGAGAAAATAAAACGAGAATATTAGATTCATGTAAAAGGTAATGAAGTACCTAAGCCTATAATATCATTTGGTCATCTTTAATTGGATTAAAAGTTGGTGAATAAAATAGTAGCATAGAAATTTGAGAAACCAACAGCAATATAAAGTTAGGCATTACCATGTGTATTATCAGGAAGGAATGTAATAGGAGTAGCAAAAACAGGATCAGGTAAAACAATTGCTTATGTTTGGCCAATGCTTGTTCATGTAAGTGCATAGAGGGCAGTAGAAAAAAAAGAAGGACCTATAGGATTAATAATGGTACCTACAAGAGAGTTAGGATAACAAGTATTCTTAGAAACTAAGAAATATGCTTAATTATTTAATATAAGTGTTTGTGCATTGTTAGGAGGAGAAAATAAACATCATTAATGGAAAGAATTAAGAGCAGGAGTAGATATTATAGTAGCTACACCAGGAAGGTTGATTGAAATGGTTAAAAAGAAGGCTACAAATATGTAAAGATGTACATATGTTGTATTGGATGAAGCTGATCAAATGTTCAGTCTTGGTTTTGAATATTAGATTAGATCTATTATCAATTAAATAAGACCTGATAAATAAATCTTATTATTTACGGCCACTATGAAAAAGAAGATAAGATAGTTGTGTGTAGATATGTTAGTTGATCCTATTGTGATTACTATTGGAGAAAATGAAAATTAAGTAAATGAAGATATCAAATAATTACCTATCATTGTTGAAGATGATGAAGCAAAATTAAAATGGTTACTCTTGAATTTAAAAACTTATTTAAATAATGGGAAAGTATTGATCTTTGCTAATTAAATGGGATAATGTGAAGGATTATTAGCAGAAATTAAATCTAAATTAGGATTGTCAGCACTTACTCTTTATGGTGATAAAATGTAATATGAGAGAACCTTAATTATTAACTAGTTTAAATAGAATGTTAATTTATTAATAGCAACAGATATTGCTTCAAGAGGATTAGATATAAAAGAAATAAGAACTGTAATTAATTATTATCCACCTAAAGATGCAGATACTTATATTCATAGAATTGGAAGAACAGGAAGAGCTGGAAATTGTGATGGTGTTGCTTTTTCATTAGTACAAAAGTAAGATTGGAAATTTGCTATTATGTTAATTAGAAGTATTGAATTAGCAGGTTAAATTGTACCTCCAGAATTAGAAGATATAGCTAGTCTTGATGATCATTTTAAAATGGATAGAATGAAAAAGAAGATGGGTTTTGATTATGCCAGAGGTAAAGATGCTAGCAAAATTCTACATCAGGCTCTTAAAAGATAAAGCAACACAAAAGCTGGATTAGGATTTGATGAACTAGAACCTAAAAAATAAAAAAAAATAACTAAGCAATTATAAGATAATCCTGAAAATCCAGTTAAAGTACTCCCTGTTGTTACTTTAGCTGAACCNTTTGGTCATCTTTAATTGGATTAAAAGTTGGTGAATAAAATAGTAGCATAGAAATTTGAGAAACCAACAGCAATATAAAGTTAGGCATTACCATGTGTATTATCAGGAAGGAATGTAATAGGAGTAGCAAAAACAGGATCAGGTAAAACAATTGCTTATGTTTGGCCAATGCTTGTTCATGTAAGTGCATAGAGGGCAGTAGAAAAAAAAGAAGGACCTATAGGATTAATAATGGTACCTACAAGAGAGTTAGGATAACAAGTATTCTTAGAAACTAAGAAATATGCTTAATTATTTAATATAAGTGTTTGTGCATTGTTAGGAGGAGAAAATAAACATCATTAATGGAAAGAATTAAGAGCAGGAGTAGATATTATAGTAGCTACACCAGGAAGGTTGATTGAAATGGTTAAAAAGAAGGCTACAAATATGTAAAGATGTACATATGTTGTATTGGATGAAGCTGATCAAATGTTCAGTCTTGGTTTTGAATATTAGATTAGATCTATTATCAATTAAATAAGACCTGATAAATAAATCTTATTATTTACGGCCACTATGAAAAAGAAGATAAGATAGTTGTGTGTAGATATGTTAGTTGATCCTATTGTGATTACTATTGGAGAAAATGAAAATTAAGTAAATGAAGATATCAAATAATTACCTATCATTGTTGAAGATGATGAAGCAAAATTAAAATGGTTACTCTTGAATTTAAAAACTTATTTAAATAATGGGAAAGTATTGATCTTTGCTAATTAAATGGGATAATGTGAAGGATTATTAGCAGAAATTAAATCTAAATTAGGATTGTCAGCACTTACTCTTTATGGTGATAAAATGTAATATGAGAGAACCTTAATTATTAACTAGTTTAAATAGAATGTTAATTTATTAATAGCAACAGATATTGCTTCAAGAGGATTAGATATAAAAGAAATAAGAACTGTAATTAATTATTATCCACCTAAAGATGCAGATACTTATATTCATAGAATTGGAAGAACAGGAAGAGCTGGAAATTGTGATGGTGTTGCTTTTTCATTAGTACAAAAGTAAGATTGGAAATTTGCTATTATGTTAATTAGAAGTATTGAATTAGCAGGTTAAATTGTACCTCCAGAATTAGAAGATATAGCTAGTCTTGATGATCATTTTAAAATGGATAGAATGAAAAAGAAGATGGGTTTTGATTATGCCAGAGGTAAAGATGCTAGCAAAATTCTACATCAGGCTCTTAAAAGATAAAGCAACACAAAAGCTGGATTAGGATTTGATGAACTAGAACCTAAAAAATAAAAAAAAATAACTAAGCAATTATAAGATAATCCTGAAAATCCAGTTAAAGTACTCCCTGTTGTTACTTTAGCTGAACCTACTAAATCTATTGGATAATTTAAAAATAAATGGTAGGATTTTAATCCATATGAAAACTATGATAATTATGCTGCTACTTTAGCTGTTCCTGGACATATGGAAAGAGATTAAATTATTTAACATTATCAGGAATAAATGAGAGATTAATTCAGAGCTGGATTTAAATCTGGAGGTGTAGCCTAAACAACAAATAAGAAACCTGTTGTTAAATTTATTAATGATAAAAATAATACTAGTTAGAAGAAATCATGATTTTATATTTTTATATGATCATAAAATATTTAGAAGACAATCCTTAGTTTTAGGTTATAATGTGAACATTTTGAAATAAATTAAAAAAGATTTTAATTTTTTCTTGAAACAATTATGGTAAAAAGTGTATCGATGTCAATTTTAGGCAAGAGGACCAAAGAAACACATGAAAAGAATCACAGCACCAAAGAGTTGGATGCTTTCAAAATTAGGAGGAAATTGGACTATCAGACCATCATAAGGACCTCATAAATTAAGAGAATCAATTCCACTCTCTGTCATATTGCAATATAAATTGAAATATGCTTTATATGCTAGAGATGCTACCATGATTCTTGCTGATAAGGATGGTAATGTTAAAGTTGATGGAAAAGTCAGAACTGATAGTGGATATCCAGTTGGATTATAGGGTATCTACTTTTTATATCATCCATCTAGATGTTATCACTATTGATAAAACAAGAGAAAATTATAGAGTTTTATATGATGTTTAAGGCAAATTCATCTTAAAATCCATCAAACCAGAAGAAGCTAAATTCAAACTTGTTAAAGTCACCTAAAAAAAAGTGGGCCCAAATAATGTTCCATACATTGTCACCAGTGATGCCAGAACCATCAGATATCCTAATCCAGAAATACATGTTAATGACACTCTTAAAATCGATTTAGAATCAGGAAAAGTCCTTGAATTCCTTAAAGAAGAACCAGGTATTATATGTTCATTATCTCTTAGGAAATTTATGTTATATTATTGGAGGTAATAATATTGGAAGAGTTGGACTCATTCAACATAGAGAAAGACATCTTGGATCATTTGATATTGTTCATGTCAAAGTAATCAATATTATCCTAATATTCTTAGGATTCTAACGGAAAACATTTCTCCACCAGAATCAATAACATTTTCACTATTGGTAAAGGCAAAAAGTCATTGATCTCACTCCCAGATGATAATGGTTTGTATTTGACTGCACTTGAAAAAAAATAAGTCAAAGATCACTAGGAAGTTGAAAAATAATGATGATTCATTAAAATATATCAGTATAGTACAAAATTATATATCTAATCACTTATTCTTATTATTCTCATCAATAATTAAAATCTATTTATAAACTCAAACTTATTAACATAGTCTATAATATTGAATTACTTAATTTATGTTTTATATAATCAAACATCAAAATCATTTTTTTTAGGCTTTTGAAATAGATACATGTACTAAATTTACCTTTGTTGTCTTTCAATCTATCTTAACGAACAAAGTTAATATAACTTACTTTCCCTAAAGTTCTATTTTGAATCCCTAATGACGAATCTAAATAAATTTATTGATTGCCTAAATAAAAAAAATAAAAAGGCAATAATGATCTATGAGTATATGATCCATTTCTATTAGTACTTCATAAATATTAAGACTATAGTCATAACACTTTCAAGAAAACTTGATGAAAAATAATATTTAATAACATCAACTTTAATAAAGATAATTACATTATTATGTTACCAACAAAAGTTAATTTGTTGTATTCCTTAAAATTTTGTGTACAAATATAACTTAATTTATATGAACAATTACAGGAATTGCAATTGTCATTTTTAAAATTCTTCTTTAATATTTAGGATAATCCTATTTAAGGTATAAAATTAAATAAATTCCACTTTTCATATGTTATCTTTTATTGGTATCTGTATTCACATTCATATTATTAAAAATGAATCTTCATTTATTCAATCATATAAGCCATCATTTATAGGATGAATTCTTATGTCTTAAAATTTTATGTGATATATAGATAATTCTGTAAACTTTAATCATTTTTTAAGTAACTAATTAATAAGATAGACTTTTTCTTATTTATTATAATAATAAAACTGTTTGATTTCGATTAAATTCGATATACCATTTTATTAATATATCAAATAACTTTAAAATAGAAAATAAATATAAAATTAGATTCTTGTTTTATAATATTGATCAAAATGCTATAAAAATAGGGAAGAAATATGCTCATAATTAATTAATTGAAAATGATATTCACTATTTTAAATTAAAGAGTTTTTATTCTTGAACTCATTTAATAAGTATATGGATAAATCTTAAACTATGAGAAGTATCAAAAAATAAAGAAAAAGTTCAATATTGAAAACTGAATCTGTGTATATGATATAAGGCGTAAAATTTTTATTAATTAATTATTACATATTTTAAGAATAGATAAAATTCGAAGATGAAATAGTTTTATTATTTTTCCTTTTTAATGAATATAATTTACTTGCAACTTGAATTAGAATTGGATCTTAAGATATATTTAGAATAATAAACGTCTTTAACAAGAAAATCTTATGAGAATGGAAAGTAAAGAATGAAATTTATGATAACAATTACTATTAAATAGATGCTAACTTTTAATTATCCAGAATAAATTATAAATTATATTTTTAATTGTCATACACTTTATTGTCAAATTAGGCCATGCCTTATTATTTAATTTGAGTTAAATCAGAATTATTTAGCAAGGGAAAAAATTGAGCAAGTTAAATTATTTTTTAATTAGGAGCAAAAATATATATTTATATACATAATGATAATAATGTAAAAAATTTCATTTTGACTCATTATTTTATTTTTACTTTGATATAAAATTAAATTTATAGAAGTTGATTTTAATGTGATTTAAGAAAGTTAAATTATTCTATATATCTTAAAATTTTAGGCATCATTGCAGTTGAATTGCTAATCAAAAAGCTAAGTAATGATGAGAATTAATAAGAGTTAGAATTAAAGAAGAATAATAATTTCAAACTAGTAATTATATTTTAACTAAAGTTTAAAGCTTTTGTTATAATTTCCAGTCTCTAGTTAATCCATAAAATTAGAATAGTAAAATTTTATTTCATTTAATAAAAAAAAAAGTAAATAGATGTTGTTTTAAATACCTTTTTCACAAAATATAGGATAAAAATAAGAAAAGTAAGTCTTAAATTAATCTTAGGATGATGCCACTAAATATCCTTCAATATATGCTTACAGTACAAAAGTTTAAATCAGAAATATTTAAATAAAAACTGCATCTTTATTTATACTTAAAAAACATAAATCAATAGAATTCCATTTAAAAAACGTTGAGGAAACATGAACAAATTCAAAAATCTATTCACAATTTTAAAGAAAAATAATTAAAAATTGCAGAATATATTTAGAAAAAAGGTAAAATAACTAATCAATAATTTGCGAATAAATTATAAAAGCTAAATCTATTTGAAGAAGCTTTGAAATACTTCAATTTGGCAATAAAGAAAAATCCAGAAAATAATGATTTATATTTCGAAAAAGGTGATAATAACTATGAATATTAGGATGTTTATTAATTATTTTTAATAAACTTGAGGAAGCCATACAGTAATTTGATTATGCCATCTAATAAAATCCAAGTGACTATAGAGCTTTTTCAAGTAAAGGTGTATAACTTTTTGTTAAAATTTTAGCAAGTGTATTAATAAGATTAAATCGATTTGAAGAGGCTTTATAATATTACGATTAAAGCATTCGTATTAATCCTGAAATGGTGCATTTGAAAATTAATAAAGGTATATAAAAAATTCTATAATAAGCTATTACTCTAAAGAAATTAAATCGATTAGAAGATGCTTTATAATATTATGATTAAGCGATCACAAAATAACCTAATAATGCTGATTTATTAAATGATAAAGCCTAAACATTAGAAAGCTTAAATCGATCTTAAGAAGCTTTATTATATTACGATCGTGCAATTGCGATTAACCCTGTAAATTACAAATAATATTTTAA